ATAATCCTTATACTGAAACTACCTTCTAACTTGAAATAAGACATGATCACAGTTCATAGCTCTCTTCTCACTATGAATTGGTTGCAGCTCGTCTTTAACACTGCCTCCCAAGCTCATTTCAAACAGAGTAGAGACCGTTATGTAAGATAACCATATTCTTACTGATCATAATTCCTTTCTTCACTCCATTTTTGCCGGAGAAAAGAGTTACCCCCCTCTCCTGCATTTCCCTTTCCCCCTCTCTTCTCCCTCTTCTTCACAAACCGATCCCTAAACCAGCAACAACAACACAAAAATAGCCTTCGCCTCTGCCATCTCCATCTACTGAACGCGTTGGTGGCAAGACAGGACTGCAGAAGAAAAATTTTCTAAAATCAAACTAAATTTTTTGAAGGAGACTCAACCACGAAAAAAGAGTAAAGCAACAATGCTAATAGTTCATATGGTTGGTTTTGATGTGATAAATTGCTTTTGTTCTGGTCTCCAGTATATCAACTGCAACAGAAATGTTTCCTCCAATCATCTTTAGTGCACGATTTAGAAGCAATTCCTCCTGTTTGTGTCAAACGGAAACATTCATGGGTTCTTAACTCCCCTGTTAGTATAAAAGCAGCAGCAACAGCAAAGAAGTTTGACAACACATCAAGCACCCAGGGAAAATGATACAATGCAGTAGGTGATATGTGTCTCGAAGGTTTTGAGTTACTAAAGTTCATGTTAAAAATAAACATGAATTAAAATATATTATTCTATTAAGCAAACATCCCCTCTAATCATACAAAGATCAGATATCCAATTCACAAACAATTAAGCCATAAAAAATCATCACACATCCACCACCTTTGATTGCCTAAATTTGGTTTTTCGCAAAGTTATGGACCCTTAATGGTAACGTTCATGGGTAGTCTGTTTCATAACTCTAGAGAGCACAGTAAGCAACCACCAGCCAGACACAGTGCGGTAGGCGAATATGATTCTCAATTCACAATTTCTCACCACCGGAAGTAAGAACAGACCATAATAAGCGTCGCGTTCATGGGTGGTCTGTTTCATAGCACTACTACACAATTTGTTAAAAAAGAAAGAAAGGTATTTAGCATCACGACTGAAAAACTTTTACAGGCCAACAACGACAACATGCTGCAACCACCAGAACTGGTATCACAACTCATAGGGAAAATCAAAAGATTTACTCTCAAATTAAGCAGTTACAACATCGAGCAATCGTCAAGCACATACACCATCACAAAAGTCACGAAAACTGATTCACAATGCATTCAAACATTTGAGGACATTTCTGCAAAGGTACAACTTATATGTCTTTTTTCCAAGCCATTTCCATCAACATGCTAATAAATTTGCAATGCATAAAACAAACGGGCCAAAACTTGAAATTCAGCCTGTTTGACCGACCCATGCCAAATTCTAATTATTCTTTACTTTTAAACTTTATATTTGAAAATAAAAAATAGTGAAAGAAAAGAGACGACTACAATTCGCCATTTGCACATCACTTATTCGGGAATAAAACCATAGAAATTCAAAAGGAACTGAAAATATTTAGGATCGTTTTAATGTTTAAAATAACTAAATAGATCTTTTATGTTTAGTTTTTTACTAACAAATACCAAACGACTCCCTATAAAATACACTATAATTTGATCATTATGATATCAAATAATTATAAAATATATATTTGAAATGATAAAAATTAGACTAATTGGGTTGGTCGAGGTTGAACCATGGAATAACTCTAAAATACATTATATTTTAGCCAATAAGATATAGAATAATAGCATAATATATATTATGCCAGAGAAAATAGCTTGTTTTAGAATGACAAACCAATGATGTTCATTTGTTTCACTTGATGGCCAAATCCCATGTAGGTCAGGCCCATTCAACTCTTTTATTTTATGGTTAGCGATTAGCTCATTAGATACCATGCATTCAACTCCTTTTCATATATATTTTATCACAACAGAGAAATAAAAGGGCTTAAAGAAAAAAATTGACACTCCTGGGCCCGTTTAAATTCGCATGTATACTGTAAGTTGGCCCGTTCCACAGAGGAAAGAGAAAAAAATTGACACTCCGTATTCTACCTTTCCTATAAACGCTCATCGAGCAGAGAATTTGAAATGGGGAAAGGGTTTTTTCCTCCCTGCTATTATATGTTTTTAATTTAGAAAGATACAACAAATGTACTTAGTGTTATTGGTTGTGATCTTAGCTTTTCTTTAAAATGGTCATGGTTCGAATCCCAGTACGTGTCTTTTTAATGAATAAAAAAAAGTAATTGTGAAGACTAAAATGTCCTTCCTACTTTCACTCTCGTTGCAGGAAATTTGAAATGGGGCTCCCGTTTTTACCTTCGGCTTATTATATTATGTGTAGATAAAATGGGTTAATAACTTATTTTGGCCCGAACAATGATCATATAATCAACTTTGGCACGTGGTTTCAGAAAATAACATCCTGACCTCAACTATGCAGCATATAGACTAAATTGGCCCGACACATGCTTTGACCGTCAATTTGGACGGTCAACAGACCGTTAGTCAACACGCCATGTCATTGCCTAGTCAGCCTAAAAATCATTAAAAATTCAGATTCAAATTATTTCTCTTATAATTATTATTTATCATTTTGAAATTAACCAAAAAATGAAATATAAAAAAAATTGTATGTTTTATCTTTTGGGACATTTTAAAATGGTAAATTTAAAAAAATAATATATATTTTACATTTTATTTTTGGTTAATTTAAAAAATCTATAATATTTTGATAATTTATAAAATGTTTCATTTTAAAATTACCAAAAAAATAAAAATAAAAATATTTTATGTTTTTATAATTTTATTTTTTTGTTTAATTTGATAATGATATATTATAAAAACATAAAATAATTTTTTGGTTTATGTTTTTATATTTCCTAAATTTATAAATTTAATTTAATAATTTTTTTAAATGTATAAAATTATCATTTTCAAATGTCCCAAAAGATAAAACATAAAATTTATTATATATTTTTCGAATTTTAATTTTTGGTTAATTTCAAAATGATAAATAATAATAATTGGAAAAATAATTTGAATTTCAATTTTTTAATGACTTTTAGGCTGACTAGGCAATGACATGGCTTGTTGACTAACGGTCAATGGTGTTGACCGTCCAAATTGACGGTCAAAGCATGTGTCGAGCCAATTTAGTCTATATCGTGCATAGTTGGGGGCTTGGGGCCATGATGTTATTTTCTGAAACCACGTACTAAAGTTGATTATATGGTTATAGTTCGAGCCAAAATAAGGTATTAACTCTAATAAAATTTATGTTTGGTTTGACTATATACAGGCATAGGTAATATGTGATGCAACCTGAAGCAGGATATTCAATAGCCGAAAAGGATTCCTACATATGATATGATAATGAGGAAATTTCGGAGAAGCTTAGCTAGCTAGTTGGATTCGTAGGTTTGTTCAGTCCAATGATTCCTATCAAGATTCGGAATATCCCTCTCGTTCCCGGCCCAAATTAATATTAATTAGGAGGCCGGGCACGGGAAGTTGAAGATTAAGTAAGTAAAATCGTCATTAGAGAAATTAACTAAAAATTAATAAATTGCCATGTGGAGATCCACAGCTGATCTAATTGGCACTAGTATTTTTTATATACATAGATATAGCTGTGTGGACTGTAAAAACAATACAAAACACAAACAAGGAATTAGGAGAACGGAGAAATGGGATTGGTTAAAATTTAAAAGGATTTAACATGTACGTAAATGGACAACTACAATTGGACAGATCGAGCGAGCTAGCAAGCATAGAAATTTTCACCTCTTGCTGGATGGATAAATGGATGGATGGAAAGAATATACTTACAATAGCTTTATAATGGAACTGTCGTTTCAGCAATGGATAATGCAATGGATAATACAATAGCTTTATAATGGAACTGTCATTAGCACAAATAATGTGTGCTAACTAGGAAATACATAAGCATGAGAGACGAATGTCAGTAATTTGGTAGGAAAGTAGGCAAAAATGCAAGGCCCAAGGCAAATGAACAAAAATGCAAGCGAGGAGATTAAGATTTAGTAGTAATTTGTTATTTGAATCTAAGTAATATTTGCAACAAGATTTTTATTACTTCATCAATTGTGTAGAGAAAATTGACGCATTTTGCCACTTTAATATCATTACATCCCAATATCTAACGATTAGTACACCACACAATAACCAGTAGTAGTAGTCCAAACATATTCTTTACTCTCCATCTTTAGAAGTAAATGGTCACTATGTAGTGCAGTTAGGAAATATGATTAATATTCAATAGTATAAGGAACAACAATTTGTCATGTGAAAATATGGTGCAAGTCATTCATGTGAATCCGCAATCCACTCACCCACATAAGTGCGGGTAGTAGATTTTTCAATCCACAATCCACCCACATCAACTATCCACTGCCTGCAATTTGGGTTATTTATTGGTAGATTGATAGCAACTTGCGGATTAACCACTCATGTGTACCCCTACTTATAGGGTTAAGGAGATGACACGACACACATTTGACTCTATAGGCAGATTGATCCGCTCAACCCTCAGATCGGAGCGGAGTTGATCGATGGGTTTTCAGGGTCAAAGTTTGAGCCCTACAATTAAGAAGAAAATGAGTAGTTTACGGGAAAATACTAATTAGCAAGACTTGCCATCTTGTCATCTCCATTCCTTTGAATTTTCCATTTTTCTTATTTCTACAAAGAAGTCCGGTTGGAATATTGCAAGTTAGGGGAGTTTTATACAGTTTTGAATTTTCAATTCTCCACATATAACCTTGATAGCTAGCGATTAGTTAAGTTGTTTAGGGTTGAGTTGACTTGTACAATTCGGAGCCATATCATATGATTGTGTTTTTAGAGCATCCATATCAGATATCACTCCAATTGTAAAACTAATTGATGTTCCTATTGCCACATCATAATTTGTGCTGTGCAATCTAACTCATCTAAATTTCATTATGTATACATCAAATCAATTCACTTGCAATGTGGTGTATCCAAGTGATTTTATAATAAAGAAACATATAAATGAAGAGAAAAAAAAATTTATTATTCTTATTTTCCTATATATTGTAAGCGCCTACTACATTGGTTGGTGCAATCCTTTACAATTGCATATTGAATTCCAGGTAGGATATGCTATTGATCAAATACAGATATATCATATATGGATGATCTTATGGTAGAAGACAGATGTGGCCATCCATATAATTGCAGAAGAATATGTATCTCTTTGCAACCCGAAAATAGAGTATAAAATTACCAAAGGATGGTGGAGATGGTAAAGCTGTAGGCTTAAATTTACCAAAGGATGGCGCCGCCGACGCAGGGACCCATTGGAATTTGGATCAGACAAGCCGGGGAGGGGGACAATGAAAAGAAATCCCTTGGTTTCATGGAAAAATTAGATTCCCCTCTAGCAGATAAAAACGAATATCAACCAAGGAAAACCAAAGCTCCTCCGGTCACCGCCATTTATGTTTTGCGGACAATGGCGGGTCAGGGATGAGATGACCCTCCTCGCTCGCAATCCAACCCCTCAAATCTCAGCAAGCTTACTGAGAAATGTCATCTTCCTTTCTAAAGACTTTTCAAACCTTCCTCCATTTCCTTCCAACCTGCAGTTCATAACTGGAACGAAATTACAAACCTTGGACCGCCCATATCTCGCACAGTCCTCCTTCAGTCCAACACACACCTCACATTCTAGAAAGCTACCTCATCAATAGAATATCGACATTAGCAGACTTTCCACAGCATCTCATCAAAGGGCCTGTGCTGTGTGCTATCATATGATATGATTGGAAATGAATCACAGTGCGAGTTTCAGCGATATCAGCTAATCAAGCATTCACCACACAGTCAGCTGCATCAGCATTGCCTGGTTTCTCATATCCTAATTTGCAAATATAAATACAAACTCAGGGCTATCGAGAGGCCTTATGATCCACAAAGGCTAAAGGAATGTTTAAACAGGTTAACCAATATCTCATCCTGAAAATGAACACACTGCATTCTTGTCACAACTAGTCACCGGCTAATTTGTAAGAATAGAATGGAGTAATTAGTCAAAGACATCAAGGGAAGTAGGGTACATTGTTCATATCATACCATATCATATGCATTACCCTTTAACTTAATGGGTTGGATGCTTGTTGGTCAGAACAAATGTCGCGAGATCCATCGAGGTCTTGGCCATATCCTCAAAGCTTGAAATCGGGTTGCGATGAACCAGCTAGAGGAGAAGCAGCACTTGGTTTTGATGAGCCATCTAGAGGAGAAGCAGCACTTGGCATCCTGCATTTCATCACCACACCTTCGAGTATCCCGTCCCGGTAAGTAGGAACAAAGAGCCTTGGTTCAACCGGTCCAGGCAACTTAAACCCAATCCGAACGGTCCCGCTGGGGCAGAGTTCTTCAACCTTGAGCATGAATTCTCCAGGGAAGCTACCCAGAAAATCTGAAGTGGGCGGCCGTACCCCTTGTATTTGCACAGATCCATCTCGCTGGATCCTGCATTTCACATCCCCTATACCAAAAATGGCGAATTTTTTTTGTTTATCCAGCGCATTTCTAACAGATTGATCTGGAGTTCATTATTTAGGTCACAGCCTAATTATATACAGATTGAGCAGAAGGCAGTCAACAAATTTGATTAGATCGCAGCCTAATTTATCCTCTCGTTCTTCAATCTTCCAGTGACCCTATGGGAACGAGCAAAGCAGTACTGATACGAGTAGCTGGGGAAATGGGGGAAAAATAACTGACCGTGATTTTTGCGGACGCCAGGAAGTGTTACCCGGAAGAGGTAAGCTTCGTGGCTGACTCCTATGTCGACGGAACCCAGTTGCGGGCCTGCTCTGCCTTCAGAGGCGGTTCCTGTTATAGTCACCGTCGGCTTGAACTCCGGGGCGCCGGGATGTTTGAGCGTATCCATCTACAAAGTGTCGCCATTTCAATTGCTAAGCAGTAGGAAAATTCTACTTACAAAAATAGTAGTCAACGATTACTCAAACAGCCGATTCTCACAGATCGCAACAACACTAGAGAGAGAGTTGTTGACCGGAGATTGTTGAAGAAGCCAAAGTCGGGAGCTTGCAACCGGCGGCGAGATGCTGAAGTCTTGAGAGAGGGGAACAGAGGGAGACCGGCGGCGTACTAAGAAAAGTAATACGCGGTTGAGCCCAAGTAAAATGCGCTCTGTGGGCCGAGGCCGAGCTGCTCGGCCCAGTGTAACGATAATTTTTTAATTATTTATTTATTTTTAATCCAGCAGTTTACACGCGGAGAAAGTGAAGTAGTGCTCTGCTCCTCTTGGTAGACGACTAGACGTTCTTATTCGAGAACTCCAGTCGTCGGTGCTGAGATTCAATTCCGAAATAAGCTGGTAGATAAATTAGCTTAAGCGATCAATCGAAGAATCTAAGAAGATGCACTTGAGCGAGAACGAAGGGATAGAAGGCAAAGTGTTCGTAGTCACCGGCGGTTTGGGCTTCGTGGGTTCCGCCCTCTGTCTCGACCTCGTTCGTAGAGGAGCTCGCCAAGTTCGCGCCTTTGATCTCCGAACCAATTCTCCATGGTCTGATTCTCTCAGCTCCAGAGGTGTCAAATGCATCCAAGGTAAATTCCCACAACCCATTTTCCCTATGTTGTGAAAGATCGCCTCTTTCACTTGCTGTCTCATTCAATCTGGTCAATTCTCTAATGAATGTCATCCTTATACCTGCTGGATTGCCTATCATACTGTGTTGGCCTGAATCCAAAGCTCATTTTGGTTTGAAGGAAGCGAATTTTGATTGATTTGGGGATGCAGATTGAAACAAGTCAACTCCCGTAGCTAGACTTTACTTTATCCATAATGCTTTCCTTCAACTTTCATTTCTGTGATTGCACAGGAGACATTACCAATCAGAAGGATGTGGGGAAGGTCCTTCGTGGTGCAGATTGTGTCTTCCATTTAGCTTCCTGCGGCATGTCTGGCAAAGAAATGCTTCAGTTTGGTCGTGTGGATGAGGTTAACATCAATGGAACCTGCCATGTCTTGGAATCTTGCGTTGACCAAGGAGTGAATAGGCTTGTTTATGTCAGTACTTACAATGTGGTTTTTGGGGGAAAAGAGATAGTGAATGGGAACGAGGCTTTGCCTTACTTCCCTCTTGATGATCATGTTGATACATATAGCCGCTCCAAGTCAATTGCTGAGCAGTTAGTGCTGAAGTATAATGGTCGGTCCTTCAAGTAAGTACCAGAATCTTTAATGATCCAGTTGCATGGAACTCTTGTGATGCGAATGTGATTTCATCTGTTTTTTATATGTGGTTGGCCAGGAAGATCAATAGTGGGCAGCTTTATACTTGTGCTATTCGTCCAGCAGCAATCTATGGACCTGGAGAAGAGAGGCACCTTCCCAGGATAATGTCCCTTGCTAAGTTGGGTCTCATGCCTTTCAGAATTGGTGATCCGAATGTGAAAACAGATTGGGTGTATTGTGATAACCTTGTCCTTGCACTTATCCAGTCCAGCATGGGACTTCTAGATGACATTCCAGGCAGAAAAGGACGCCCAGTCGCCTCTGGCCAAGCTTACTTCATATGTGATGGTAACCGTCTAGGAAGCATGTTTCTCTTAACGTTTTTTCTTTTTTTTATAAACTGATCCAGCTGTGACAAATAATCAGCTTTTTCTTGCAGGTTCTCCAGTCAACAGTTTTGAATTCCTTCAACCTCTTCTAAAAAGTGTAGGTTATGACATACCGAAGGCCTCTTTGCCTGTCTCTCAGGCTCTTACTATAGGCAAGGTTTTGGCAGCTGTCTATACAATCTTTTACCCATGGTTGAAGCATTGGTGGCTTCCTCAACCATTGATCCTTCCTGCTGAAGTTTACAAGGTCTGCTGAAAAAAGCCTTCAGACCTTAAGAACTTGGGTTTCATGTAATCATTGATACTTTCTTTACCTGAGAACTTAAGTTATATGTAACCTTTGGGCGTCTCTTATGATGTCAAAACAGGTTGGAGTGACACACTACTTCTCGTACCTGAAGGCCAAGGAAGAACTCGGGTATGTCCCTCTGGTGACCCCCCGGGAAGGGATGGCTGCAACGATTTCGTATTGGCAAAAGAAGAAAAGGGAAATGTTGGATGGACCGACGATATATGCATGGCTGTATTGTGTGATTGGATTGGGTATGGTCTTGTGTGCTGCTTTTCTGCCGGATGTCGGACCTGTGTCCCTGATGAAAGCTATTTGTCTCTTGTACATGAGGTCCATGTTCGTGATTAGGCTGGTAGCTGTGTTAGCTACAGCTGCACATCTGTTCGAGGCTATGTATGCATGGAAGCTGGCGAAGAAAGTAGATCCTGCCAATGCCAAGGGATGGTTTTGGCAGACTTTCGCTCTCGGGTTCTTCTCATTGCGTTTCCTACTGAAAAGAGCCCAGAACTAGTGTGTTTTTTCCTGGCAAATGTAATAAGATGAAAGTGTTGGAAAAAATTCTGCTTGTGTAATGATATGAAGTTCCGTTGTGAAAGAAATCGGTTTAAAAGGAATGGTCCTAAAAGGAAAGACCCTGATTCTCTACTGACGTCTCTGAACCACAAATATTTCCTGATTCAACATATTTGTTTACTTCTTGGATTGGAAAATAAAGGGAAAGGAATGGGGGAAAATTAAGGGAGTGGACATGAAGATATCATCATTATCCGCTTCCTCTGCCTCTCCATCGGTGCTGAATCTACTGCCTAGCAGTAATCTCAGCTCAAGCTCGAATCTTCTTCGACTTCCTCCCCTCCTTTCTTTCCACCCCAATGTCAGCAGTAGCACAGGGAGAAAGCTAAGTCTCGTCCTCTGCTCCGGCGAGCAACCTTCAATGTAATCGGCGTTTCCTTCCATTCAGTGTGTGTATTTGCAGCTTGCCCTTTTCTCTTTTTTATGTTCCCTCTGTTCTTTCTCATGCTATTCCAGTTTTTGGGCATAGATTGTGCGAGGGAGGAGAGTTGAGAGGTCGAGGTAGAAGAGAAAGTTTGGTTTTGGGCTTCATTTCAGCAGCTGCCACTCTCACTGCAGCTTCTAAATCCTCCTGTGCGGAGAATGGTAATCGCTTGCCTTGGCCCAACATTCAACAAGGCAACAACTTAATTCAGTTGCAATGAACTATAAGCTTTAACGGGTGCCTGTTGTTCTTTTGGCGGTTTCAGAAGACTTCCGGGTTTACACAGACGAAGTCAACAAATTTCAGATATCAGTTCCACTGGGTACCCTTTCACTCTCTTTTGACCGATACATCCAAAAATGGTCTTACAGAACGGCAATTACTTAAATACGTTCGTATCGCCTCAAAAGCTAAAGGACTCGCACATTGCGTGCTGCGATTTGCAAATGCTGCTGACTCTTTGCATTTTTTTTCCAGACTGGGAAGTGGGCACTGGAGAGCCCAGCGGCTTCAAATCCGTGACAGCGTTCTATCCACAACAAGCTTCTGCTGCTGCAAGTGGTAACTCTGAAATTCACATAATGTTGATGCCAATAAAAATTGAGCGTTTCTTTGCTGCGTCTGAATAATGTATTGATCTGTCGGGACAGTCAGCGTGGTGATCACAGGGGTGGGAGCTGATTTTACAAGAATCGAGTCCTTTGGAAAGGTTGAAGAGTTCGCCGAGACATTAGTGAGTGGACTGGACAGAAGCTGGCAGAAGACTCCTGGTGTTGCAGCAAAATTGATTGACTGCAAATCTTCAAAGGGTAGGTAAATTCAAGCAGCCTGGATTTCATTTCTCTGCGCATTGTTTCTAAAGTTTAGGAATGGACGTAGGGTTGTACTACATCGAGTATACGCTTCAAAACCCAGGCGAGAGTCGAAAGCATTTGTATACAGCACTTGGAATGGCCTCCAATGGCTGGTACAACAGACTGTACACCATCTCAGGCCAGTTCGTTGACGAAGAATCACAAGCTTACGGATCCAAAATCCAGAAGGTAGTACTCTCATCTCGAATTCCTGTTAGATTGATGGCTTGGGTCCTTAGATTTCTTTTAACGTCTACATTCTTTCCTGTTATGTTTGCCATTTCCCAGGTGGTCTCATCCTTCAGGTTTACCTGAAGGCCAAGAATTTTGAGCTCACTCCTTGCTCACTGCTTTCTTTTCCAGCTATCTATGATTATGATCATAGCACTATCAGCTGTCTGTTGACAATAAATAAGTCTCATTTGTGTTACGTTTGATACAACTGAACTGAGTAAGTTAACAGCGGCAAGCATAGTTTCTCTAATTTTGTTACACATCATCCAGTGGAGTGAACTATCTACTCTTCTTTTACCTTGACAAAATACTTGAAACAAACTCGGGAAATTTTCTTATACTACGAAACATACATCTAACTGACAAAATCACCCTGTGTTCTCACGCCCTCCGCTGCTTGCTGACCACTTTTCCGGATTGCTCTTTCGTGCTTTAAGAGGTTCAACTGGTCATAAAACAGGATATCTCTCATTTGTTCCATCTGTTTCCACTCTTTTTCTATCTGTGAATCAATCTCCTCAAAGTGCATGATCTTCTCTTGGATCTGCTTCATCTGCAAAAGGATTACTCTCAGCAAACATAGACAATTTCATTTTCACTTAGTGGAGTTTCGCAAGGTGGGGGGAAGTCTTTTACCTGTACCTCTGCAACTCTACGAATCTCTTCCTCAACATTTACCTTCTCCTTCTCCTCCGGCTTTGGATTTACACCTGAATGAGCCTCTTCTACAGACTTGAGTATGCCACTACCATTGGATGTAATACTGGCATCTGCATAGAAGCAAATACAAAATCATTACTTTTTCTTTCAATCCTCGAGTAACACAGAAAACGAACAGCATTTTGACACAATTAGTTCAATCCAAGACACACAACTATTGTCAAAAGGTTGCTTTTACACAATTCTATGGATATTCATGACATTGTCCTCATAATCCCCTCTTACCTTGCAATCCTTGAACCCCATGAAGACTTCTGATGTCAGCCTTGGGTTCTCCCTGTCCCATCTCGGACACTGCAGTTACAGCTGCTTGAGCAGCAGCTTCAGCAACCCCTGTGCCAGCCAAAGCCGATAGAAAAGCAGCCTGCCAAATGTTTTTGAATAATAAACATGAAATCCTACAGGATGGTAGACAAAAAAGAGTCGAGCAAAAGCAAGGGATGCAATTAGAATGTACCTGAGCCATTATTGGGTTGCTTGCATCTGCAAGAGGTGAAAGGCACAATCGTTTACTAGGGGAGGAGGAAGAGCTAATATTGTTATCATCTTTCATCTGGTTTAGCTTGTTGATACTGGATCCAAATTCTGCGGAAGAAGCAAACTGTTCCCCCATGGGAAGCTTAATGAAGTGGGTGATGCAGTCTTTGTCACTTCTACCACCAACATGCTGTGCAACCTTCTTCCAGTCATCACCATAGTGCATAACCGCTTCCAAAAGTTGCAGAGTCTCTTTCTCCGTCCAATCTGTTTTCATCTCATCGCTGATCTCAACCCGCTTGAAATCTGAAGAACTAAGTCCCACCCGATAATTCCCCCGCACAAAGCACCGTGCGCAAAGAGTTATGTCGTACTGTTTCAATACAATCAGGACTAAATTAGTTGAGCAATGCTGCAGACTAGCGATGGCGCAGAAAAGCTGCAGACGGATTTCCCTTAGTAGTATGGAATAGGATTCCATCACAGTGAAAAGAGGAGGCGAGATTTACCTTGTCGGAAGCAAAGCAAGCTATGCTGCAGACGGACTTGCAGCTACCACAAAGCCGCTTTGAGGTTTCCCTGACGGGAGGAGTGGAGTCGGAGGAAGGCCCTGCCGGCGAATCGGTGGCGTGTTGGGAGGACTTGGAATCCTTGTCTTCCCACTTCAAAGGCTTGTTCAATGCAGCTGGGGAGTAATTGATGAGGCCCCATGCGTCGAGGAAATCGTAAACTTTGCGGATGGAGATGACGTCGGCGACGAGCGTCTTCCTGACTTCGGTGAAGGTGATCTTCGAGGAAGGATTCCGCCTGAATTGCTTGACGATGGAGTCACGGATGTACTTGTACGCCTTAGGGTTTCTCGAAGGGGACCGAGAATCGAAGAACTCCGGCAGACAGCGGATCTCGCATTCGCTAATGTCGCCCAAGGAGAACCAGCCTGAAACGAAAACAGACGCAAAAGGGAGAGAAATTAGACAATTATTCTCATGGCTGCGAAGGGAAGCGGTGGGAGATGCTAAAGTTGGAGTTGGAGAGGGAGATTACAGGAGTAGCTAGGGATGTGGACGACTTCGGCGTCGGAAGGGATAGGTCGAGGTGTTGTGACTGAGGGAGTGGCGGGGGAGGAAGAGGAGGCGGTTGGAGCGACTGCGACTGACGCTGCGGCGGAGGGGGTGATAATTGTGGTGGAGGCCAGAGGGAGGAGGTTGGGCTTGGAGGACGGCGGTGTAACGGCGGCAGGAGGTTCTGTGGAAGCCATGGCTGTTAGAATGCGCTAATTTTTTTGGGAGCGAGCGAAGACGAGGGGATGCTGAAACAATACTTCCAAAGAAAAGCCCAAAATGTTGAGGGGGATCCAAAGCTAAAGAAACTGGGCCACTGATGGGCTTAGGATAGGGTGAGTAACCCTTTGTTACTCACCCGTGAGTAACCACCTAGGAACCGTTGATCTGGGGCGGACGGATCGTGTGGCTGTCATTGAAGCGGGATGGTCAGGAGCATTTTTGTCCGTTATTTGCATTAATGAGTTTCCCCTTTTGTCCGTTGCGAATCTTTCTGTGCGCGAGTTGGATTCGGATTTTGGAGAGTCTCAACTACGAGCAGGGGAGCAGCAGCTGAGAAACAAGGACGGCGATTCTCCATGGTTGATCGACGGCGATAGAAACTGCGAGCAGCAGCTTCGAATCGAGCTTTCTGATTCTCGGTCTCCATAATTGATCGACGTGTGCGCGAGTTGGATTCGGATTTTGGAGAGAGAAATTGCGAGCAGGGGAGCAGCAGCTGAGAAACAAGGACGGCGATTCTCCATGGTTGATCGACGGCGATAGAAACTGCGAACAGCAGCTTCGAATCGAGCTTTCTGATTCTCCATAATCGATCGACGTGTGCGCGAGTTGGATTCGGTTTTTGTAGAGAGAAACTGCGAGCAGCTGCTGCGAAACAGGGGACGGCGAATCTTTTGTGATTATCCATAATTGATCGACGACGAGGTTAGATATTAGTTTTTTTTATTCTTCCTGTTTAGCTAATCGAGTTTTCTGTTGATCTCTGGTTTCGTTGGAGGTTTTTCATTGCTGCTAGTCGAGCTTGTTTATGTTTAGCTAATCGAGCTTGTTCATGTGTTATGTTCTTTGTGTTTTGGTGTTTTTGTAGTATTCTGGTGAGATGAGTTACGTAAATTGTGGCGATGTTGTTCCAATTGATAGATCTGGTTCTTCAACCAGCGTTGTAGGATCTGGTTCTTCATCTAGTGCTGTTGGAATTGCTTCTTCATCTATCGATCTTGGATTTGATCATTCAGCTAACTCTGGTGAATCAGGAGGTAAGATATACAAATTTGTTTGTTTATTGAAGTTTGTATAGTGTGGTAATTTGATTTTACCATGCCTTATCATGTGGTAATTGATTTTACAGTACATTACCATGTGGTAAAATGTGGTAATTAGGAAGTTAAATGTGATGGTTCTGTGTGATAATTGATTTTACCATGCCATACCATATGGTATAGTGTGGTAATTTGATTTTACCATGCCTTATCATGTGGTAATTGATTTTACAGTACATTACCATGTGGTAAAATGTGGTAATTAGGAAGTTAAATGTGAGGATCCTGTGTGATAATTGATTTTACCATGCCATACCATATGGTATAGTGTGGTAATTTGATTTTACCATGCCTTATCATGTGGTAATTGATTTTACAGTACATTACCATGTGGTAAAATGTGGTAATTAGGAAGTTAAATGTGAGGGTTCTGTGTGATAATTGATTTTACCATGCCATAGCATATGGTATAGTGTGGTAATTTGATTTTACCATGCCATACCATATGGTATAGTGTGGTAATTTGATTTTACCATGCCATACCATGGTGGTAACTCTTGTATCATGGCTGTAATTATTGGTATACATTGAGATTTCATACTGTTGTGGTGTGGAATCCATTTAATATGTTGTTTCATAATGTTTGTAGGTTTCAATGGTATAGATCCTACTGTTCGTGATTCTTGGAAGGACTTAGAGTTCAATACACCAAATGATGCATATAATTTTTATGTTGATTATGGGAATCATGAAGGTTTTGGTGTGAGGATTTATAACCAATCAGCGTGTCCGAAGCTCAATGGTGGTTCTTCAGCTGTATATTATATCAAGTATTGTTGCAATAAGGAAGGTTGGAAAAGAGGTAGCGAGAATAACCCTGATAATGCAGGTGTTGTTGATACGACAGTTCGTGTTCGTAATGTTCCAGAACTCAGGGGTGGATGTAATGGTGCTTATATACGACTGAGGTGGTTTAAAGAGTTTAAATGCTACAAGATCTATCGTTGGTGTAATGTGCACAACCATGACATGATTCCTGAGTCTCTGCGTCACTATGTGAGATCCAGCAGACGAATGGCTCCTGTGTATAAGATGTTGGCAGAGGTGAATGATGCTGCTGGTATTGGTGTGACTTCTTCGTATAATGCAATTAGTAGGGCTGGTGGTGGTCGGAAGTTTGTTGGGTTCACAAAGAATGATATGAAGAATCATCTGCGAACGGTTAGGACGTTATCAATGGAGTATGGTGATGCGACTGCATTGCTTGAATACTTTAGACGTCAAGCACAGCTGGATCCTGGGTTCTTTCATGAGGTGGAGGTTGATGTTGAAGAGAACATTGCTAGTATTTTTTGGGCAGATGGGAAGATGAGGATGGATTATCATTATTTTGGTGATTCAATTAGTTTTGATACTACTTACCGGACTAACAAAGAGTATCGGCCACTAGGTATGTTTTCTAGTTTGTTGTTTATTATTGTCTTTGTTAGTTTGTATGATTATTATTATTATCATTATGTATCATGTTTTTTTTTTTGTTCTTACAAGTCTGTACCATATGGTATGGGTTGGTATGGATTGCTTTTTTGTTCTTAAAAGTATTTTACCATATGGTATGTGTTGGTAACAAGGTTATTTGAGGTGGTTTTTGGGTTGTTAGAAGTTTGTACTATATGGTATGGGCTGGTATGCATTGTGTTTTTGTTCTTAAAAGTCTTTTACCATATGGTATGGGTTGGTAACAAGGTTATTTTGTTCTTAAAAGTCTTTTACCATATGGTATGGGTTGGTAACAAGGTTTTTTTTTGTTCTTAGAAGTCTTTACCACATGGTATGAGTCTTTAGCATATGGTATGGGTTGGTATTATTGTTATTCGTACCTTTTACCACATGGTATGTGTTGGTAGAATTGTTTTTACTCACATTTTTGTTATGTTTTTGTAGCTTTGTTTGTTGGTTTCAACAATCATCACCAACTGACTGTCTTTGCGGCTGCTCTTCTATATGATGAAACAACGGCAACATTTGAATGGCTTTTCGATCAGTTTTTGAAATGCATGGGAGGTGTGAGACCGTTATCAATGTTTACTGACCAGGCTGCTGCAATTGCTGCTGGTATAAGGTCTGTTTTCCCAGATTGTTTTCATGGGTTGTGTACATGGCATATTGCTCAGAATGCAGTTGTTAATCTGGGAAGTTTGTGTGACTCTGACTTCCTTCGTGAGCTTAGTTATTTGATGTATAATGCTGATGATGAGGATGATTTTGAGTATAATTGGAAGAAGATGATTGAGAAGTGTTTTCCTGGGAAGGGACCTTTGGGACACAGTTGGTTACAGAGCATTTACAAAGTCAGGACGAAGTGGTCTTCAGCCTGGGTGAATTGTCATTTTGGTGCGGGAATGAAGAGTACCCAGCTAAGTGAGTGCTGCAATAGTAATATTCGACATTACTTGCAGTCAGAGTTTAGCGTTAGTAGGTTCTTTGTGCACTTTGAGAGGATGCTTGATAATAAGAGGGATGCTGAAGAACAAGAAGAGTACTACGCCTTATCTAGGTTGGCTGATTCTCGGTTTTCTACTAGCCCTATTGTGAAGCAAGTTGCCAATGTGTATACGCGGAAGATATTCAAGTTTTTCCTGGATCAGTACAAGGAATCTCTTGCGTATAATATTTTTTCCAATACGGAGATAGAACCAGAAGGTGTAGGACTGTTTGATGTCTTCATATTGGAGGATGACCTTACAAGGTTGGATAGTAGGGTGTTGAAGGTTGATTTTGAAACCGGTGAAATCAAGTGTTCGTGCCGTAAGTGGGAGTCAAGTGGTATGATCTGTAAGCATCAAATTAAGGGATATGATATGTTGTGGTCTACAACATGCAATCTGAAGTTCCAGCACATTCCTAGCAGTTTGATTTTGAAGCGGTGGACAAGGGCAGCGAAAACTGGAGGGAACTTTTCTTTTGAAGTTCCGTCTACTGATAGTCCATCGAAATACCGTTCTCGTCTTTTCAATCTGTCAGCTGTTTCTGCATCAATGATCAGCAGGGTTGCATTGGATGATGATTTGTATAAATCAGCCATGGCCTTCATGACTGATTTGATCAAAAAGTGTGAAGCCCTATCGATTACTGAACCTACTGGAACAAGCACGTCTTCTAACGGTGACAGTAAGTTTTTAATTGTTTAGAGTTTTGTGTTTTGATATATGCATTTTTTTGAGGAGAATGATTTTACATATATCTGTCATTGATTGTAGTTTGTTTTTGTTATCTTGGTATAGATGATGTACCGGTCCAAAAAGTGAAGGGGTTTAAGCCTAAAAAAGATTCATTCAAGCCTTCGAAACGACCAATTCCAGTTGCGGAGGCTGCAAGGGCTGTAAGTAAGAAGAAGAGAAAAACTAGCAGGCTTGAGGAGGAGAATTTGAAGGCTGTTGAAGAAAGTTTAAGGCTGAAGCTGTAATAGTTTTCTTAAGAGGATTATTTGAATGAATGGTTGGTTGAGTTGTTGAAGCTATTTTGTTCTTTTGGATTGGTTTTTGGTTTGTTGGATTAATTTTACAATGTCATACCATGTGGTATAATGTGTTAATTTGATTTTATCATGTCAAACCAGGTGGTAAAATGTGCTATTTTGGAAGTTGAATGTGAAAGTTCTGTTTTATAATTGATTTTACCATGCTATACCATGTGGTATAGTGTGGTAGTTTGGAAGTTCTGTGTGATAATTGAGTTTACATTTGCCATACCACATGGTAAAATATGATATTTTGGAAGTGGCATGTGTGGTAATTGATTTTACAGTGAATTACCATGTGGTAAAATGTGGTAATTTGGAAGTTAAATGTGAGGGTTCTGTGTGATAATTGATTTTACCATGCCATACCATATGGTATAGTGTGGTAATTTGATTTTACCATGCCATACCATATGGTATAGTGTTGTAATTTATTTTTACCATGCCATACCATGTGGTAAAATATGGTATTTTGGAAGTGGCATGTGTGGTAATTGATTTTACAGTGCATTACCATGTGGTAAAATGTGGTAATTTGATTTTACCATGCTATACCATATGGTATAGTGTGGTAATTTGATTTTTACCATGCCATACCATGTGGTAAAATGTGGTAAT